CCAAAACCACACCAGGGTCATGACGCTATATGCTCATGACAACAGGTGTGAAGCTCAAGAGGAAAACTTCAATAAGACTTCGCTTACCTACAGCAGTATCTTTTGTAGTGCTACAGACCTGCAAATCCAAAAAGCAGGAAATTCAAAAAGTTGGCAGCAAGTGGCGAGAATAGGATATGGCATACAATCCTCGATTGTAGTAAGAACAGAAGAGTAACTAGTGAGAATGGTCACGACCAGAAGTAGCAGGAGGATTCCAACTGATGAGCAGCGCAATACTGGGCGCGCTCCAATGAATTGCATTCATATGCCCACGCGCGGGAAAATTGTTCAAACTGCAGAACCTTCCACTAAATAAACGCGTTCAAGGAAAACTACGTAGTGGTCGCCGGGCGAAGAGACCGCAACTGTGCAGTCGTTGTGCCACTGTAGTGCGTGGGATGGCTTGCTTTGAAATCCTGTTAAATGACATTGCAGTCAAAGAAGCTGACTGACATGGATCTCTTCTTGCCTGCTGCGCAATGTGGCGGTAATACCTTAGTGTAGTTGTTCTTTGTCTGCCACCTCCTCTCCTTCGTGCAGCAGTATCAGAGGTTCGGAATGCTCTCCGTGCAACGCTGTTGTAAGCGATACCAGGTTCCTCAGCTGCACTCGTCATGGTTCGACCTTTTTCGAGCCCGTCAATCGATAGGACGCGATATTTTTCGTTGATTGCCTTGCTTTTTCATTGGATTTGATCGTTTTTTCTTCTGTTTCTTTTTCTTCTCCTATGTAAGCGACGATCAAGAATGCATTGAAATTGAAGAAAGCGGTCAGCCAATTCAAATAATTAAAGGACTCTATACCTCACAAATTGCGCGCTTCAAACTTCCATCGCAATCCTGCGATACGCGGCGGGTGCGGCGTGTGCGACGCCGTGACAAGGGGGAAGTTCCCGGACCCCCACAAGTGTATATGGTGGTCGAGCAAGAAAGTGGCACCTGATGTTTCGAGAAGTCACATCGTACCGCACAGCTCTCCACTGCGCCAATTGAATAAGTGCGCACAAGGAAGCCTAGCAAAGCAAGCTTACTTGTTCCTTTCTGCTGAAGAACACACAAGTTGGCGAAAACGTAATCTATTATACAATACAGTACCACAAGTTTAACTTTACTCGAACAGAGACTGCTTGATGAGTTCCATTCGAACGCAAAATTAAAAATGAACTTGAGGTTTAATGAGGTGCATTCGCTTCTAGCAATTTAGAACAGTCTTCCATTCAAACTGATTCGCGAGCAAGCACCAAGGTGTTACTTCGCTGCTAAGAAGCGAGCACCCTCCAGGAGTGCTACAAAGCTCATCGTTTGAATTCACTCTTAAGCTTTCTGTTTCGTAGCTCTTTACCTTGTTGTCAGTGTAGTCCAACCTCACTCCCGTTTGTAGGTTCAACTTATTTAACTAAAGTTGACAATTCGGTCTTCCACAGATGCATATTTTTGTGTATGCTACTCTGCATGAAATGTTTATAGACAAGTGAATTCATCAGAATGTACAGGCCATGGAAACAAAGCGCTGATTAATTTCCTTACTATAACTAATGCATAAAATCCGTTGAATAACCTAGAACTGTGCACCAGTATATCACATTTTCGGAATTTTGCTCAGCTACACAAATGAAGATATGGCTTCACTCCACCCTATCGATGTTCTCGGAACGATTCCATGACAGTTTTAATGTCTCTTCTAAGTTCTTCAGCATTTCGCAGCAATATGGTGCTGAAAAAATATGAAGCTTGATCACGGTAACTCTGCATGGTGCACTTGTCTGACGATAAGGAACACTAGGAGACCTTGGAGGAGCTCTGCTTATGTCGTTCTCTATAGAGCGAAGCCGTTGCAGTAGGTGTAAAACGGCCGATTTACGCTTAGTGAAACCATCCTCTCGACGATGCAGGTAGAGCCATGCAGTGCAGTTTTCAACCAACACGAGGCCCTCAATTCGATTGTTTCTCAGCGTTTAATTAGGTAAAATCTCAATTGTAAGACTATAACTAACTGTTATTCTCTGATTGGCAAGGTCAAACCTCTCTAAAGAGGGTGCCATAGCCGATTTTTCGAATTCAAGCCTCTTTTTCTTGTCAAATCGAAGATTTCTAACTTCAGTGCATACCTAAACAAGAAGTTATGTTTCAAGGAATATTTTTTGTGTAGAAGACTGGAGATATCAGTTTTGTATATCAGATAATTTCAAAACACAGCTAATCGAAACTCACATCAGCAAATTCCTTGGCTATCAATTTCTGACATGGAATTCGTTCAACATCCACTTTATATCCCTAAAAAAGAACCGTGAGCAAAATGGTATGAATTCACGTAAACTTTGCAGGGTAATTACTCATTCAAAAAATCAACTACAAGAAAGAGATCTCATCAAATTGATTGTCTTACGTCCTTTGGTTTCCCTTCCAAATCTCGCTCTTTGCGTAGCCTTGGGTAATAAGGCCACCACGTGTGATCCCAGCACATCATTCCGGTTTTGTCGTACCTGGCTCCGCAGCGGCAGATAGTGTTGTGAGCCGACTCACTGGGAAGCTGAAAGTGTGAGAATATCAAAACTTCTAGCAACGAACTAAGTTGACATGGAAACAGTCGTCGTAATTTATTTTTTTGCTTGAAACAACTCACATGGAGAATGCGACCGCATGCACAGCTGATGCGCAACAGTTCCTCATTTGGTAGTAAAAGGTGCTTGCTAACGAAATCTGAAAACCGATAGCATTTGCTTCAAGACCCTATATCTTTCAACGGCCAATAGGGGAGATTCAGCTTTCTTCAAGTTACATGTTTTACACTGCTTTACCGCACAGACTTCTAATTATCGGACCACTCTATTTGATGATGTTTCCAACATATTCTTTCACGGTCTTCAAGAACGTAGAAGTGATTCGAAGATCTGCGACTTGCCCGGTAGAGTGCCCAAAACACTAAGCCAGTTGAAGCAACCTTCAGAAACTGAACACAAAAGATCCCTGTTGAGTGACCACCTTTTATGAGGAGGATTATAGTATTGGTTATAAGACCCATGTACCGTCGGTAAATCATGACTGCTGCGCAATTACACAAACGCAGCACCGAGTGGATGAATTGCTTGGCATCCTCAACCGAAAGTCACAGTACATCGAGTACACGAGAGATGTTCTGCATGAAGGCTGGCTTTCTTTTCTAGAACAAGCAGATATACATTTAGGTGGGAGGTGCACTACATATGTTGTGATGGAGGGACAGCTTGAAGGACACCCTGCTTTACGAAGGTCTGCGTACTCTAGAGCTGTGGAAATTGTAGTAGTTCCGCAATATGTGCAGTGCAGCTACATGAGCTCGCATACACGAAGTGGATTGGAAGAAGTCACGTAGGGTAGCATTCGAGATTGCAAACTTGAATGTCTCAGTGGGACACAACTTGGAAGATTAGGCTCACAAAGTCATTCGCCGAGAAATCGTGAGGATACGATCAATTTCCGGCTCCCATTTATATCGAACAAAGCGCACAAATCCGACAATGCATTGCACGAGCGGATTTTGCTAATCACGTTACCTGATAAACCTATCAG